CTTTTGTTCTATTTTCTGTTTTCCATTGTTTTCGCTTCCGCTAAACCACCTAAATACTCAATTCACCCATATCCTACATCAGTAAGTGTTCTCCTGCCAGTTCCAATGTAAAGGTGTGACTAAGGATGTGCTATTGTGGTCATCTTAGTATTACTATGAACTATTTTGAGCAATTACAAATTCCTGGAACAATAGATGGCTGAATGTGTTCTAGGGGTTTCACTTAAGAGATGATGGTCTATGTTGCTGCGGATAAGTACACCATGGGAAAGGAAATGTGTAGCTGTTAAATAGGTTGTGTTGAAGTTTGAACAGAGTTATGTTTATTACTCCTTTTCAGCAAATAAAATTTCTACAGTATATATGTATATATATATATTTTAATAGCAATAACTGCTACCTTTAACGACTGCTGTTTGCATTTTGTGACACATTTCTATTCTTATATAACTTTGACAGCTATTACTCGTAGAGACAAATCCACTTAGCTCTATTCATTTTTTTTCTTTCAATGTTGGGGGTTTTTTTCCTAAAACAGGAGGCATTCAGTTTGTGTCTTGTTCGGGTATAGAGGAAGTCAAACTAAAATTAGAAACAACTATAGAGTTGCCTGAAAAAATTTGTTATTATTTTTTTCACAAAAAATATAATGTTAATGTAATCTTTTGTTTTCAAAAGAACCCACTGACAGGAAGTATCCTTTAAAAAAAATGAGATACGCGGCTAAGTTGACATTCAATTACCAAAATCAAAATTAAAACAGCAGCAAGACGAAATGACTAGTAATCTAGTTTTACTGTTTTCTGTGATTTTCAGTAGATGTCTATTGGTTTGTTTCCAGAATATTTTTTGAGATTTAGGTATGGGCTTTTAATTTTATTGTTGTGTTACATTTCAGTTACTGGTTTTGGGTGCCAGTTGATCTTACTTTTTTGTTCCTTATGTTTCTTTTTGGCTTTTTACTCTATTAAATCCCGAGTGCTGTTATCTTTTCGCTGTATATTGAGCTAATTATACTGATTTGAACCTCCACAAGAATCACTGGGGTTCAGATGCTTGGTATTGGTAAAATCTTTAGATTCTTGCTTATTTATATATCTTCTTAAAATTTATATTGCAGAATGAATATAAAAGAGGAATTAGTGGTTGGAACTTCAATCTTGACGATATGAAGGCTCAAGCTTCCCTGGTAAATGTGCATCTTGACCTTCATTTTTATTCATATGATTCCTCAAAATTCTAACAATGGTCCAAAATATGTTTTTCTTTCAGATCCAGGATGCTGATGAACCTGTACCTGATAACATTCCGATGGGGACTTCCAATTCTCTGTCTGCTCTTGATGCACAACAAAAGCAATCACAATGTCATAACTTAGACGCAGTTGCCGACACGGTATTTATTAGTTTGGTTGGACATTTATGGTTGTTTAATACTATTTTCGCATTTTATATGCATAACATGCATACATATCTGTAATAGTTGTTCTCCGTGGTTACTCATAAATTTTATGTCTTACAGGAAGACAATGATATGATTCGGAACCAACAAGCTACTCTTCCACTCGTTGACACAACTTTATATGATGTCAAGTATGTGATCTGAGATGTCTCTATTAT